TTTAACTTTTTTTAAATTTTTTCAAAAGGCCATTAAATTAGGCAAAAAGTTAGTCTCTGAATCAGAAGATTCGTTAAAGTATGGAACGTTCCCATTCCGATGACTTCTCCAGTATAATAACATATCTTGGTGGCTTAATAAATAATGTTCATGAAAATGTAATTGACAAAGATATGAACAATAGATACTTCCGTTAAATCTAGGGTATCCATTGTTTTGATATAATTTCGTTCTCTGATACTAATTTTTTTTTTTTTAACTGTAGCCTAATAGATTTAATGGATTTATTATTAGAAATCCATCACCCCCTTTAAATTATAATAATAATAATATTAATAATAATAATAATAATAATAATAATAATAATTATATTAATAGAAACTATTATAGTATAAACAATAATGGTAATAATATGAATGTTAATAATAATAATAATGTTAATAACAATAACAATAACAATAACAATAACAATAACAATAATAATTATAATAATAATTTAAATCAAAATTATTATCAAGTGGTCCCATCAAATAATAATAATAATAATAATAATAATAATAATAATAATAATAATAATAATAATAATAATAATAATTATAGAAATTATTATAGTAGTAATAATAATAATAATAATAATAATAATAATAATAATTATAATAATAATAATAATAATAATAATAATAATATTTTGAACCAAAATATGTCATATTCACCATTAACATCACCAAACTCATATTCACCATTAACATCACCAAGCTCATCATATACACCAATATTTTCACAAATATCACCAAATGTATCAAGTAGATCAGTTTCGCCATATGCAGTTCCACCATCGTCCACATTGTCACCACCTTTCTTTTCAAATACAAGCTTTTCGCCACCAGCATCACCATATTTAAATTCAAATTATGACAGTTATAATAATAATAACAATAACAATAATAATAATAATAATTATAATTCAAATTTATTATCCACATTAGTTCCATCAAGAACTACTACTACCACAACTACCACAACAACAACTACCACTGCTAGTGCTCCAACATCTCCAGATATCGATGACACTGATGATACAAGAGATCAATCAAAACCAGTTAAAAAGAAGATTGGAAGACCATCACTCCCAAAGCCAGAATGTTGCTTCCTTTGTAGAAAGAGCCATACACCAGAGTGGAGAAAGGCTGTTTTAAATATCGAGGGATCAGAAACCAAAGTATCACTTTGTAATGCATGTGGCTTAAAATATGCCAAAAAGCTTAAAAAAGAATTAGAAAGCAAAGAACAACACAGTATTAACAAATTATTAAACAACGATGAATAAAAAAAAACTATATTATTTCACAAATATTTTTTAAATCTTTTTTTTTTTTTTTTTTTTTTTTTTTTTAAATAAATACAATTTTATTTTTTATTTTTTTTCTAGAAATTTTCTTTATGGAATATTAAGTGACATCCATTTTTACCATTGAATTTGTTACAGTTTTTACTTAAATTCTTTCCTAAAACTTTATTTCCGCAATAGAAAACACCAACCTTTTCCTTTGGATGAAGTTGTGATATTTGATTAAATATTGAACGGAAATTGGGTCTTCCAAATAGAGTTTTGGTACGTAGGTTGGTGATATGGCAGTTTGCATTTTCGGTATTTTTAATTTTAGCATAGTCGTCTAGATCTAAAGCACCTGTTAAAAAGATATGGATTTCTAATATACTGTCTATTCTTTCATCATTTTCGAGTTCTGCTAAAACGTCGGTAAACCATTGGAATGAATTCTTTTGTCTACTTACCCAAACAAAATAAACTTTTTTAATTTTGATGTGTTCTTCATCAGAGTTGTTTTGTTTTTCATTTTGATTTTTGAGATGTCTTAAAATACTTGAAAATGGTGTTACACCAATACCAGCACCAACTAAAACAAGGTTTTGATATTTGAAGAAATTTTCTGCAGGTGCACCAAATGGACCATCTATTTTTAATATTTGTCTTTTACCTCTTTTTTGTGTTTTAGCAAGATCTTCTTGAATTAAACCTAATTTATTATCTGGGTTTAAAAGTTTGAAAAGCTTTCTGGTCCAGTTACCGACAATATTGATGTGTACTGAAATATATTCATCATCCGGGGCTGATGTAATAGTAAATGGGTGCCATTCGTGGTAAGCAATAGCTGGGCAATTTAAATACAAATATTGGCCTGGTTTAAAATTGAAATTATCTCTTTTCATTTGTAACTCCAATACTTTACTTGGATGCATAATTGCTTTTTCAATTACAACTGTCTTTTTACCACGAGCAATTCTTATAATACGCTCGATTGCATAAAATACAAATGGGCCAATAATCCACATCCATGATTGGGGATCTCTTTTTAATATTTTTGAATAACCATGGAAGCACAACAAAATGTAGAATGGAATAAATAAGTGATGAGTGTACCAGAAAATTTCGAACATTGGTCTTCTGATTCTCCACATCGATGATGAAAACATTAATATAAATATAATTAACATAATATGACCGGTAATACCAGGTACAGATTTGTAGAATAGGTATTTATCATCTGGAAACTTTGATATATCGACATTTAAATAGTTTCCTGCGATACTTGGGTCATTCTCGTCACCATTATTCATTTTTTCTAGATCTAAATTAATTTTTCTAAAACTGACATAATGACCAACACTTTAAAAAAATAAATTAGTATAATTTTTATATTTTAAAATTATAAATATATTAACAATAGCTTACCAATGAATTATAGTACAACAAAATAACATAAAAGCACATAGTTTATGAAAATTTAAGTGCTTGTCAATAGGTACATAGTTATTAATCCAAGTACCTCTTAACCATGAAAGGAGATTACGTAAAACGGGTAATAATATTACAGCGGAATTTAAATTGATTAATCTAGCAGCAGTTCTTGAAAAGCAAAAGGATAAGCCTAAAAACTCTTGACCAATCGGACTATGATACATATTATAAAAAGTGTGAGCTCCAACACCTAGGTTTAATGCAATATAAAACAACATTATATAAAATGAAATGCCTCTATGCCACCACCAACCTCTAAATTTAATAAATGTACTGTTTTTATGTTGATTATTATTATTTTGGTTATTAGGTTGATTAGATTCTAGATCTGTACTATCCCTTTTAACAATATTATCTTGTGATAAACTAATTGGGATATTATTTCTACTATGAACCAAATTATTTGGAAAGTATTTTTTAGTTTGCAATGGTATTGGCAAGTCATCTTGAAGATCTAATTTTTGGAAATCATCCATTTGATGTTCTTGATATTGTTGTGGTGAGTTTATGTTGGATGGGCCATCTTTAGAAACTTGAAGAGAGCTTGATTCACCATTATTATCTTGTTGTGGATATGTTGAAGATTGAAATTCTTGCAATTCTAATTCTTGTTCTCTTGTTACATTCATAACTTTTATTTTTTATTTAAAAATAAAGAAAAAAATTAAATAATTAAAAAAAAATTTAATAGATTAAAATAGTTTTTAAAAAAATAAAACTAAAATTTAAATTAAAATAAAATAAAATAAATTTAAATAAAATTAAATAAAATAAAATATACAATAATAAAATATAATATAATAATATAATAATATAATAATAAAGAAAAAAAAAATAAAAAAATAATTTATTATTATATTATTAAAAAAAAAAAAAAAATAAAAAAAAAAAAAATAAATATAAAAACTATTTTTATTTATTTATTTTTTTTTTTTTTTTTTTCTTATTATATTATATTTATATGTCAAATATGTCATAAAACGATGTGTATTTAGAACCTAAAAGTAGGGGTGTATTTCCGCATGTTTTTTGTTTATTTAAAATAAAATTTATTTTTATTAAAAAAAAAAAAATTATAACTACCAACGGAGTGAAATTTGACATTTTTCTGAAAAATATAGCACTAAAGGTGTAAATGGTGAAAAAAAAAAAAATATTTAAAACAAACACACCACCCTAAACCAGGTGTGACAATCACCAATTTTTTAAACAAACTATTTAAATTAAACACAATAAAAAATAATAAAAAAATAATAAAAAAAAAAATCCTATTTATGATATTTAAATTTATACATATAACTATGTATTGTATTTATGTGTCCCTATGTTTAAAAATAATTAATTTATATTTTTAGATACATATTGGTAATAATACATAGTTATTTGTATATTAAAATATAAAGATATAAAAAAAAATAATTGTTTCGATTTTTAATCAGATTTAAAAAATAAAATTAGATAGATATTTATAGAAAACAAATACATATTCAAAAAATAATTTCTTTGAAATTTATTTATTTATTTATGAAAAATATTAACTTGTAATATCTTTAGTATTGGTTTCAACCCGTGCTTTTTTTTAATTTATAAAAAAAAAAAAATGGGTAAATATGAATATTATTATTCATATAATAATAAAATTTTTTTTCATTCTTTTAAACCACACCCAACATCAAACCCACCTTTTTTTGGATTTTTTAAATGGCTTTATTAAAATTTATTTTTTTTTGAATTATTTTTCAAAAAAAAATTTTTAATTTTTTCAAAAAAAAAAAATACATAAACTAATTTTTTTTTTAAAATCAATTTTTTTTTCATTCATAATAAATAATATATATAAATTCAAAATGTAAGTTATCTTTCACCTACTCTCATTATCTTCGTTATTATTGATTTTATTTCAATAATAATGATTAATAAAAAAAAAATTATATTTTATTAACTTTTTTATTTTTTTTTAAATTTTTTAGGGAAGGTGAAGATGTTCAAGCTTTAGTTATCGATAACGGTTCAGGTATGTGCAAAGCCGGTTTTGCTGGTGATGATGCCCCAAGAGCTGTTTTCCCATCAATTGTTGGTCGTCCAAGACACACTGGTGTTATGGTCGGTATGGGTCAAAAAGACTCATATGTTGGTGATGAAGCCCAATCAAAGAGAGGTATCTTAACCCTCAAATACCCAATTGAACACGGTATCGTTACCAACTGGGATGATATGGAAAAAATCTGGCATCATACTTTCTACAACGAATTACGTGTTGCCCCAGAAGAACATCCAGTCTTATTAACTGAAGCCCCATTAAATCCAAAAGCTAACAGAGAAAAAATGACCCAAATTATGTTCGAAACCTTCAACACCCCAGCCATGTACGTTGCCATCCAAGCCGTCTTATCATTATACGCCTCAGGTCGTACCACCGGTATTGTTATGGATTCAGGTGATGGTGTCTCCCACACTGTTCCAATCTATGAAGGTTATGCCTTACCACATGCCATCTTACGTTTAGATTTAGCTGGTCGTGATTTAACCGATTACATGATGAAAATCTTAACTGAACGTGGTTACTCATTCACCACCACTGCTGAAAGAGAAATCGTCAGAGATATCAAAGAAAAATTAGCCTACGTTGCCTTAGACTTCGAAGCTGAAATGCAAACTGCTGCCTCATCATCTGCCTTAGAAAAATCATACGAATTACCAGACGGTCAAGTCATCACCATCGGTAACGAACGTTTCCGTTGCCCAGAAGCCTTATTCCAACCATCTTTCTTAGGTATGGAATCAGCTGGTATCCACGAAACCACTTACAACTCAATCATGAAATGTGATGTTGATATCCGTAAAGATTTATACGGTAATGTCGTCTTATCAGGTGGTACAACTATGTTCCCAGGTATTGCTGATCGTATGAACAAAGAATTAACTGCTTTAGCCCCATCAACCATGAAAATTAAAATCATTGCTCCACCAGAACGTAAATACTCTGTCTGGATTGGTGGTTCAATTTTAGCCTCACTCTCAACTTTCCAACAAATGTGGATCTCCAAAGAAGAATATGACGAATCAGGTCCATCAATTGTCCACAGAAAATGTTTCTAAACACTTTATATATATGTACTTTAATGTATTATATTTAAATAAAATAATTATTTAATTTTAAAAATATAAAATATATAGTTTTTTTTTTTTGTTAATATGGTTTTTTTAATTTTTTTTAAAAAATTTTCCCCCTTTGAGTTTCATAAATTTGATGTGTTTTATTTTTTTTGTATGATTCCAATCGAAGACAAAGGGTGTCCCCCAAGCATGGGTTTATTTTATTGAAAAAAAAAAATTCAACAACTTTGCTCAACCAACTTAAAATAAATAAATTTTTTTGGGATATTATTATTGACAAAATTTTTTTTTTTTTTTGATATGATAACTGACAATGAACTGAAAAAAAAAGAACTGACATTGGATTATTTGTTTTTTTTGGGCTAAAAAAAAAAAAAAAAATGTTTTATTTATTAAATAAAAGCAATAAAGAAAAAAAAAATATAAAATGTTTAAATCTAATGAAATTTGTTATGACCCAATTAGTGAAGGTATGTAAAAAAATAAAATAAAATTTTATTATTACTAAATATTGATATTAATATTTTATTTTTTTATTTAAATTTTAGATTTAATCGAATTTGACATGGACTTGGCTAAACTAATGATTGACCAACTTCATCAAATATTTGATAAAATATAAATTTGCTCCTTTTAAATCTGCTTTCTTTTAGGGACTTTAAAAAAATGAAATTAAATTTGGTGGCTTCCTTCCATGCTTTTGGAAATTAATTAAATATAAATATATAGAAATATATTATAAATTATAAGCTGCGGGCTATATTGTTGGTGCAATTTTAAAAGAACATCAAGTAGTAGTCATTATTATTAAAAAAACAAATAAATTAAAACACATATGTGTGAATTTCAATCATATAAAAAAAATATTTTTTTTTATTTTTATTTTTTTTTAAAAATTTTTTTTTTTTAAAAATTTTTTTTTTTTTTTTTAAATTTTTTTTTTTAAATTCACATCATCCAAAACTTTTTTTTTTCACTTTATTTATTAATTTAAATAATAATAATATATTATAAAATAAAGTAAAAATGATGATTCATAAATATATTGTTTTTATTTTAGTTGTTGTTGCAATGTTTTGCAGTGTAGGTAGATCAGTTTATTTTGAATTAAATGGTGGTCAAACTAAATGTTTCATTGAAGAAAATCCAAAAGATACAACTGTTCTTGCCAAATATATATTAGAAGATTTAACTCCACAAAATCCAAATTCTCAACAATTAGCTTTATCAGTACGTGTTACTGATCCAGAAAAAAGAGAAGTTCTCTCAAAGAGTATGCCACCAAATGGTAGATTCGCTTTTTCAACTCAAGTTGGTGGCGAACACAAAATTTGTTTCTCAACAAATACCTCAAAATGGTTTGGTCCAGCTGTTAGAACTGTATGTATATTATTTAAAAATAAAATTATTTAGCGTTTAATATATGTTTTAGTATTATTATATAATAGTAATAATACACATATCAAACATACAGGTTAATAATTATAGAATAGTAAAATTTTAGTATAAACTAACTAAATTTCTATTAATAACAGAGACTTCATTTAGATATTGAAGCTGGTGCCCTTGCTAATGACTACGAAGAAATTGCAAGAGTTGAACATTTAAATAGTAGGTTTTTAAATAGACCAAAATTTATATATGGTGGAAATAGAAAACTAATTTTTTTTTTTTCATTTTATTAGGTATTGAAATTTCATTAAGAAGATTAAATGACAGAATCAACCAAATTAGAAAAGAACAAAATTACCAAAAGGTTTGTTTAATTTATAAATAGAACTTTTTTTTTATTTTTTTTATTTTTTTATTTTTTGGAATGATGATCAGATTAAATTTTAGATTGGATCACAAATATAGCACAGTATTAATAAAACAAGATAATCAACCATCAAATAATATTACAAAAAAAAAAAAAAAAAAGAAAAAAATTTTCACAATGAAAGAAAACTAATCTTTTATTTTTATATTTAGAATCGTGAAATCACTTTCCGTAATACTAGTGAAAGTACTAATGCTCGTGTTATGTGGTGGTCAATTTTACAACTCGTTGTTTTAGTTTTAACCGGTGTATGGCAAATGAAACATCTTAAATCATTCTTCAAAGCTAAGAAACTCGTTTAATCAATTTGTTAAAATTATATATAATATGCCTAAATTAAAAATAAAAAAAAAATTTTTAAATTAAAAAAAAAAAAATTACAATAAATAAATTTTAAACCAAAATAGAAAAAACAATCCTTTGTTTATTCATTGCCATTAAAATATAGTTTATTTTTTAAATTAAAAAGATAATAAAAATAATAAAAAGAATTATTTTATTTTAAAAAAAAAAAATTTTAAATTTAAAATATTTTTACAC